CCCCACTCCTCCACTTGCACCTGCTGATGTGACCTTGGGTCAGTCACAAGCTCTGGCACAGCTGTCCTTGAAAAAGAGCAGTTTGTGTCAGAGTTCTCTCAGCCCCACCCACCTCACAGGGTGTCTGTTGTGGGGAGGGGAAGGGAAAGGAGTTTGTAAGCCCCTCTGAGACTCCAAGGGAAGGGCGGGGTACAAATCCCATCCCCTCTTCTTCTTCTCAGTTTCTAGTATCTAGGCTTTTCCCTGCACTGTGGCCCAGGTAGCAGCTATTGAGAATGGAGCTTGCGCCGTCATATCCATGCCTCCATTGAAGGGGGTCTTTGCTTGGTCACACTAGGGTCACACTAGCGCTTCTTGGTCACACTAGCTTTGCTCTCGGATTGATTCCTCAGGTTCTGCCTCTCTTGCCGTGCCAAGCCCGCCCATTTCGACGTCGAATGGGGCGTGGAAGAGGACGCCCTCTTGCTTCTGGGTGTTTACGAGCACGGCTACGGGAACTGGGAGCTGATCAAATCGGACCCGGAGCTGAAATTAACGGACAAGGTACAAAAAAACTCCTGCTGCGTACGCTGCTTCCTCCTTTTGCCACGTGTGGTTTCTTCCAGGGGCAGCCCGTCCCCTTGCGAAATTGATTTATTTATTGACCCCTGATCAAATGATGCAGAAGCACAGGGGCAGGCCCCTCGATTTCAGGTAGAGCTTCTTTGGCCACTCTTCCATGCTGAAATAAATGCAGCTGATCTTTAACGTGTAGCAGCCTAGCCAGAGCTTTTCAGAGCTTGGAAGCTGAGCAGGGTCGGTCATGGTGAGTACTTGGGGTAGAAGGAAGATCGGGGTTGCTGTGCAGAGGAAGGCAATGGCGAGCCACCTCTGCTCATCTCTCGCCTTGAAAACCCCACGGTTCTGGGGTTGTGACTCGATGGTATGCCATCATCATCAATCAGGGGTCCTTTCGTAGAAAAAAGAGGTGCAGGAGCTCATTAGCATAACTCTTTAGCATAACTTATTTGCATCTGCCACAGCCCCTGACATCACCGGAAGTGTGTCAGAAGGCAACACCCACCGCTCAGGCTCCACTGGACTGTTTTGGATTGCTAGCTATTGGGGGGGGGGGGGGAACATGCAGATCTGTCCTCACAGAGGAGGGAGAGTTTGTACCTGAATAAAACTTGGTCTTAAAGGTGCCACTGGATTGTTTTGGGCCAGGGCTCTGCAACTTACCTGGCTGCTTCTTGCTCTGACTGAGGGCTGCTGGGAGCAGGGGGCGGGGCTTGTTGCATGTGCCCGCCCCCTGGGCTCTTTACTGCCGGAGCTCCGCTCCTGTGCGCTCCTGCAGGAAATGGCCCCTGATCATCATCATCATCATCATCATCATCATTATTGAAAGTTTTACTACACTTCTGTTTTATTTTGCTACAGCAGAGTAACATGGCCATCCCTCTGCATTTTCTTTTTTTCTTTTGTATTTTTTCATGTGTGTGTGTTTGTGTGCGCGCGTGCGCGTGCACCTGGACGTCATGGCAACCTCTGGTGACTGACCCCCTACTGGGGGCCTGGAGGATATTCAGAGAGGTGGCCGAATAAGGTCTGCCCCCGCCTCCCGCCTCTGGTATTCCTCAGAGGTCTCCCATCCAAGGACTTGCTGGAGCCGACCCTGCTTAGCTTCTGAGATTGGGCTCGCCCGGGCTCCCCAGGCCAGGGTCCCTCTGCCTTTCCTTGAGGAGGAGCTGTGGTTCAGTTGGCAGAGCATCTGCTTGGCATGCAGAAGGTCCCAGGTTCAGGCCTTCAGTTGAAAGGAATCAGGTATTAGAAAATGTGGAAGGCCTCTAGCTTGTGGAGAACAAATCGGCGCCTTCATGGACTGCTCTATTTTAGGGGGGGGGGGACACAGTACAAAACAACCTGAACATAAAAAACTATCCATCGACTTTTGTTGAAAAATGAGTTCCCGGTCATAAGTTGCATGGCACAGAATGAAATTATTCTTGATTGATTAGTTTCATCTGAAGTGTTTATTCTATAAACCCCAGATTTAGAGGATGTTTTAATTTTGATCAATAAATAGTACCTAGCTGAACTCAACTTCTTACATTTATACAAGATGGTCGCTACCCCAACTGTATTATTAGAAAGAGTTACTAATTAAGAGTTTTAATTAGTTAGGTTTTAGATAGATATACTGAATAGAATATCGAGAATATTATTAATGTTAAATAGTTTGTATGGTGATAGATATACTGAATAGAATATCAAGAATATTATTAATGTGAAATAGTTTGTATGGCTTGGGATTCTCTGTATCAATTAGTTTATATTTATTTAATAAAAATTATTTTTTTTTATTTTTTTTTAAAAAGAAGGCCTCTATCTGAGACCCTGGAGAGCTTTACTGCCGGTCTGAGTCGAGACTACGGACCGTCATGGTCCGATTCAGTGTAAAGCTTCTTCCCGCGTGCTCTTGCCCCCAGCAGCAAAGCTCCAGCAGCTGAAGAAAGGGAACAGAAGAGGCCAGCTGTGCGAGCCAGAGGTCCCGTGCACACACCTGGCGTGGCTGTCCATTTGGAGTCCCGCTAATGGTCGCCGTGTCCTTCTCCAAACGCTTTTCTCCTAGATTCTGCCTGTCGAGCCTGACAAAAAGCCCCAGGGGAAGCAGCTCCAGGCCCGAGTGGACTACTTGCTGAAACTGCTCAAGAAGGACCTGGAAAAGAAGGAGGGGGGGGTGAAGGAGCCCGAAGAGGTCAGTGCTGCCAAGCTCAGTAGAGGGGGGGGCCTTCTGTTGTGGCCAGGGAGTTGCGGGTCTGTGCACAGAGATGTCCCTTGATTTGTGGCTAGAGGTCTGGACCAGGATCGGGGAGTAGGTCAGAAACCCCAACTCCGCCGCGGGCGACCGTGGGCCCATCGGTTTGGAGTTCAGGGAGCAGGATGGGCGGGATTCCCAGCCATCCGAGGGTGGGCTAGGGGAGAGGCTGGCCCAGTGGCCCCCGCGGGCCTCACGTGCTCTTGTCCCGGAGGCTCTAAATCGTAATGCCTCGCGTGTGCCTTGTTTCCGGCCCTAACTGGTTTATCTCGTGCTGTAGAGCAAGCTGAAGAAGAGGAAGGCCCGTGTCAGGAAAGAAAGCAAGTCTCCCAAGGGAAGGGAAGAGCAGGGGAACGACGCGTCCTCCCCTCGGCACTCCGACAACCCTTCGGAAGAGGGCGAGGTCAAGGTAAGGCAGCTTTAAGCAGGGCGGTCGTGATGCGCGGCTGCTCAAGGAAGAGTCGTACACACCGCTGCCCAGGGCTCCTTTTGTAGAAAAAACCCAGCAGGAACTCATTAGCATAACAGGCCACACCCAACAGCAGAAACTCATTAGCATATTAGGCCACACCCTGAAAGCACAGCTCATTGGCACATTAGGCCGCACCCCCATGTTACCAGAAGTGTGCTCATCCAGCCACACCCACCTTTTGCTTCTTATTCTGTTGACCTTGTTTGTGGTCAAAACCCAGGGCTCTTTTTTTGTAGCAGGAACTCCTTTGCATGTTAGGCCACACACCCCTAATGTAGCCAATCCTAATGAGTTTCTGCTGTTGGGCGTGGTCTATTATGCTAATGAGCTCCTGCTGGGCGTGGCCAACTCGGGGGCCAGCCGGAACTCCATTTCTGTGCGTTCCTGCCCAAAAATAGCCCTGCCGCTGCCGTGTACTGAATCCGAGCAGTTGTGTCTGTTAAGGTCAGTATTGCCTACTCAGGCCCCGGTCACACGGGAGGCTTTGATCCGCAAGAGGGTCGGATCGGGGGCGCATCAAGCGGGCATGATCACACTGCAACATCTGGGAAGCGGCGCGCACCCGTCCCCGATCCGTCTATTCCGGCCGAAGATGCGGATTAAAAAAACCCCTACAAAACACTGCTACTTACTTGAAAATCCGCAGTAGGGCCAGCCGCGTGATCACCGGCGTGCCCATCTCCGCCCCCGGCCAAACTGCACATGCGCAGCGGGCTGCCTCGCTCACCGATCTGTGGCTTCCCCCCTCATGCCAGGGAGCAACGGCGTGGCCGCTCAGTGGATCTGTCTGATCCCGCCGCCACGCTTCTCTTTTGATGCGGCTCAAAAAAGCCGCACTTCAGCCGCACCTTTTCCCCCAGTGTGACGGGGCCCTCAGACTGGCAGCTGCTTTCCAGGGTCTCAAGCAGAGGTCTTTCTGTCAAGAGAGCCAGTTTGGTCAGGAGCGCGGACTCTAAACTGGGAGAACCGGGTTTGATTCCCCACTCCTCCACATGCAGCTGCTGGTATGACCTTCGGTCAGTTAGAAGTCCTTTCAGAGCTGTTCTCTCACGGGCAGTTCTCGAGAGAGCTCTCTCAGCCCCACCTCTCTCACAGGGTGTCTGTTGTGGGGAGGGGAAGGGAAAGGAGATCGTAAGCTGCTCTGAGGCTCCCTTGGGTAGTGAAGGGCGGGGTAGGAATCCAACCTCCTCTTCTTCGTCTGCCAGCCGATCTTTTTACCTGGCTCTGAGCGATTTACAGTTACACGGTTTCACACAAGGGACTAACAATTTCATAGAGGTAAGGGAGGACAACACAGAATTCTTTTAAACTGCACACATTTTGCAGCCGACGGGGATTTTTGTTCAGCTGTAGGCTTCAGACGTGTTCCAGAGGCATTCACTTTTCGGCTTGGCTTGATGACATTGGTTCTTCCCGGGCTGCTTTGCATTGTAGCGCTGCACTGCCACCGCCTGGCCGGATTGGCCCATTATAGGCTTCTTTTTTTTAACCAACAAAAGTTTATTAATTCATTACAGGCTTCTTAATGCCGAAGAGGTCTTTTTATCAGGCTTCCGAGCTTCTGAGCTGGACATTCCATTCGCCGGCTAACACCTCCCCTACGGGGGTTTAGCCTACTCAGTCATAGCCCTCTGTCTGCATTAGAAACTCAGGCTCTTCCTATTAATCCATATCAGCCTTTGAGTGAGTGAGCGTGTGTGTGTGTGTGTGTGTGAGAGAGAGAGAGAATCCATGTGATGTAACATTTTGAAGCAGCTCTTCTTTGGGGGCGGCGTCCAGTGGTTTGTTTTAGCTCTTTTATCTTCCCCAAGGGATTTGTATCTAATCCACTCAGTCCCTGGAGAGGTTTGTGATCTGTTTTTAAGGTGGGAACCACCTGCCGTCCTCAATTCCCCCTGGGCAAGGGCCTTGCCCATTTTCTGCAAACATGGGGCAGGTGGCACACTGGCGAACGGTACTCGGAAAAGCCGCAAGGGGCGTGTCAGAGAGCCACATGAGGCTCCTGAGCGGCTGATTAGCACAGCGTTAAAGGTGAATAACCAGTGCCTTGATTTGAACTTGGAAACAAACGGGCAGCTAGTGTTGTTGTTTTAAAGTTATCAAGATGTGCTCCCAGTAACAGCCAAGGTGAGGTGCTTTGAACCAGTAGTAGTCTCTGGATTGTCTCCGAGGGCAGCCCCACACAGAGAACATTGCAGTAGTCCAACTGCGGGAGTATGAAAGCGTGGATCAGCATGGCTAGGTCGATGCTGACCTTTCCCCTTCTTTCCAGGAGGATGGATTGGATACAAGCCCCTTGAAAAAGAAGCAGAAGAAGAAAGAGAATAAAGAAAACAAAGAAAAACAGTCAGCTAGCAAGAAAGAAAAGGAAGGAGAGAAAGAGAAAAGGAAAACGAAGGACAAGAACAAGGTACTGGATGCCTATCATGTAAACCTTGGTATCCCTAACTCGGGGCTGATTCACACATGCGTGTTCATCACCGGATGGCTTCCGTGCCTCATTCTTCCCCACACCCCCAAACCCCTTACCTGCCTTACCGAGTTTGGTATATTCTGGGATAGAGGGAGTCAAAGGCTGCGATCAAGCACACTAAAGAATCCACTTTCAATTCACTTTCATTGCACTTTCCATCTGGGTTTTACTGTGTGAACTGGTGAAATCCAGTTGGGAAGCGCATTGAAAGTCGATTATTTAGTGCTGGAGTGTCAAACGTAAGGCCCAGGGGCCGGAACCTGCCCGTCCAGGGCTCTTATGCGGCTCGTGAGCCACTAGTGCACGGGAGGGAACAGGAGATTGCTCGGAGGGGATTGACCGGAGACACTCCGATTGTGGCCTCAGCATGGCGAAACAACCTCGTCTGCAGCAGTCAAGCCGCGTGGCCGTGTCTGCCCAGTGCTGCATCGCTGGCTCTTGAGTCCGCCCATATGGGTTGTTTTTTTTGGTAACCCCTCCCAGGCCATGAGACCTTGCAACGAGGACAAAGCAACTTGGAGCTTACCAGCTGCTGTCCTTTATACAGTTTATATTTCTAGTACCTGCTGTTATGTTTTATGGCACGCCCGGCCCGGCCCGACAAAGCGACATTTATGTCAGATCTGGCCCTTGTGACAAATGAGTTTGGTATATTCTGGGATATTAGTGTGACTTAGTGTGTGTGTGTGACCACAGCCCGAGAGAGTTACAGATCCATTCTCGCCTCTGTGTCAGCAAGCTGCCAAAAGGTTCTTCTCCCTGTGCACATGCGCATACCTTCCTATGCACAGATGCGCATACCTTTCCTTATGGCTAATTGCCGTTCTCCTGCAAACTGCACTGCGTATCTCTCAAGGCCACTGAAGGAGTCGCTTAGATCATTGCTTTGGCTGTAGTCAGGCAGAGCCGTGGGAAGCTCGTACCTGTTTTGCTTTGGGTAGCAGTTAGTTCCCAGGCCTAATGGTGCGCGGGGGAACCATAGTAATTGGGTAACGCTCATATGAATGTACTATAACTGTTTTGCGCATAGTTCACCCCTCATTCCTAACAGTGTTCCTGTCCATGCATCTCCAGCTTCAATAAAGTAAAACCTTCTTGCAAGTGTGTGCTTCCATTGTTGCTGAGGGTCCTGACACTCTGTCTCTCCCGGTAGAAAGTGGGAGATTTGGTCTGCAGGGCAGCCGGGCCCCCTGGCCTTATTCCCTCCTTCCAGGTGGGAGAGACATCTGAGTGTAACGCCAGCTCTGTGTAGCCTCCCCCAGCTGCCCTCCAAACTAGAAAGGGGAGATGGTCAGCAGCGGCTTCTTGTTTCCCAGGGGGAGCGGATAAGCCAAGCATCTCTTCCTGGGGTGTCGGGCTCAGCTGCTGCCCCACTGTGTTGAACCCTGACAGGCCATCCCTGTTTCCAGGTGCGGATGGACTATTGCAGTGCTGCCACCAGCATGGAGAATAATATTAATTTTCCCATCAGGGCCTTTACCTTTTTAGCTCACAGTTTTTTAGCCTATTGCAGTGCTGCCACCAGCATGGAGAATAATATTAATTTTCCCATCAAGGCTTTTACCATTTTAGCTCACAGTTTTTTAGCCTCCGGCTCACAGATTTTTGTCTCAGCTCAAGAAGGGTGGCTCCCGAGGAAACTAATCTATGCAGCAGCCCAATCGCTCGCTCACCACTTTAATGCCAGGAGCTCACAAAGTAGAATTTTTGCTCACAAGACTCCACAGCTTAGAGGGAGCCTCGATCAGGACACTGTTTTTCAATAGTTCCATTCACAGATTTCACTTGTCAGACAAGGAGAAGGGGAGGCACATACTTGCGAAGCTGGCCTTAGATGTCTACTCCATGCTGAAAATAACGCAGGACCCTAAATTCTGCAGCAAGAAAATCTGGATTCCGCAATCAGCTTCAATTGCACCGATTTTCACGATTTGTCATAGTTTGCTTAAGTTTTGCTAGCAATGGAGAAAGGCGAGGAGATGCCCCTGCTGGCTTCAGAAGACTTCAGCTGCTGTCTTTTGCAGGCTTCTGAGTGTCTTTTTGCAGCTGTGAGGGCTAGAAACTTGAAAACGGAAGGGGTTTAGGTTTTCAGAACACCACGTCCTGGTTCCCACACAGTCATATCCAAGAGACCCAAGAGACATGAAAGGTTAAAGCAAGTTCATAAACATAACAGCCAATAAACATGGTTCCCGCGCGTGGCCAAGGGGTCCCGCGCGTGCCTAAACCTTGGGAAAGCAACGGCTACCTAATTGTAAATAGGTATGCTATCCCCACGGCTTTTGCTAATTAAAGACAAAGCAAAGCTCCTCTGCTCTTCCACCTGTGGCCTTGGCGAGATAGCGTTACATCAAAGCAGGATTGGCGTACTCTGAAAGGAATGCATAGCTACTGGAGAGATGTGCACATGACAAGCCAATCGCATCTACTGAGGGGGGGGGGAATCAGGGGTGACCATATACACATAGAAAGGACCCTTTGGCAGCTTGCTGACGCCCAGCTGCGCATTTTGTTCTTTCTGTAGCCGAAAGGCGGGGACGCCAAGGCTGGCGGCAAAGGGAAAAGAGTTCAGGGACCCGTCCACATCACCGCGGGAAGTGAGCCCATCCCAATTGGGGAGGACGAAGATGACGACTTGGACCAGGAAACTTTCAGCATCGTAAGTTCTCTTTATAGAATCATAGAAAGTTGGAAGGGGTCTCCAGGTCCACCCCCCTGCACAATGCAGTAAATTCAGAAATACCTCCCTCCCAACCCCACACACACACCCAGTGACCGCTGTTCCATGCCCAGAAGATGACAAAAAAACATCCAGGGTCTCCAGCCAAACCGGCCTGGAGAAAAAATTGCTTCCTGACCCCAAAGTGGCGATCAGCATTTTCCTGGGCATGTCAGAAAGGGCCACGAGAACTAAGCACTGAGGCCACCCTTCCTGCCCTCCTTTTCATGACCTGCCCAAGTTCACAGAATCCGCATGGCTGTCAGATGACCATCTAAGCCTCTGTTTGGAAGCCTCCCAAGAAGGAGAGAGGTGTAGTAGTTAAGTGCGCGGACTCTAATCTGGGAGAACCGGGTTTGATTCCCCACTCCTCCACTTGCACCTGGATGGATGACCTTGGGCAAGCCATAGTTCTGGCACAGCTGTTCTTGAAAAAGAGCCGTTTCTGTTAGAGCTCTCTCAGCCCCACTGACCTCACAGGGTGTCTGTTGTGGAAAAGGGAAGGGAAAGGTATAAATCCAATCTCCTCCTCCTCCTCCTCCTCCTCCTCCTCCT